ACTACAAAACTGACTACTAATAGTGCAAATGTGGAGTCTGTCATAGGTAGCTGACTATCCCCTCCTGCAAGCATTTGCTGTGGCATGCCATTGTACATGGGAAACAGCAACTTTCAGTGCTTTCAGAAATTCTGCAAGAGCAACAACCTTTCACTGTGTCTGTGCTGAGGAAAAGGCACTTGGGAGCTTTTGCCCTGTATGGTGACAGTGACTGCTACATCTTTGTTCTGACTTTAAACTCACTGGGGCAAGCCAACTATGCTAGTGGTATTTTTCCCATAAGCTTGCTATCTAGTTCCTTATGAGGATTCAGAAATACCCATACTTTTTCATCCAATTCAAGTACCAAGTAGAAGTATTCAGTTACATAGTTTGTTGAAGGCAGGAGACAGGAAGCTCTTGCCTTCACGAAAATTTTTAAACTAAGCAGTGGAAAAATGAAGTGGCATCACTAGGGGGCAACAAAACATCACAAACATCTATGTTGTTAAAGAGTAAGCAATGTCACACCCTCACTGAGAGAGGCATTTGTGTTATGACCTGAAGAACATCTTGTGTAAGAAAATGCTTTTGTGTTTTTCCAACTGTGTTATGTAGTACATCTTGCTTCAGGGATGACGGAGCTCAAAAAAATAATGTATGTATTATATATGGAAACACAAAACTTTTCATATAGTTTTGTTCTGCTTTATCTCTGTTCTGATACAATAAAACAATAGCAAGATTGGACACTTGCACATCCCTTTAATTTCTGAAAACCATGTATTTAGCACTATGGTTAAGTGTAACATATTCTGCTAAAGCCCATGTACTTTGTACAGATAAAGATGCACAGTATAGGAGAATTTGAATTTGAGGTTCACTATCTTTCCCTCCATCCCTTTCAATCTCGGCATGACCGCCAACCCAAACTGGTGACAGACATTCCAGAAGTCAGTGACTCTGCTCCAGTCATCTGAAGCTATTAGGTTAGTTACTAGCCCTTGTTTTCCATTTTGCTGATGTCTTCCTGGCGCTAAGAATACTCCCAGTGTAAAACCAGTAATAGCTTGCCACAGTGTGGTGGAAACGCAGGCTGTGGTAGTACCATGGCAGATGATGCAGAGAGGAGAATGGAGTATCTGACCTGAAGTCACTGCTGTGACTCAAGAAAGAGTCAGTCATTTTTGACCTGTGAGTTGTAAGAATTTTTCACATCCTAAGACTTTTACTGTTAGGATTGTTATCCTTGCCTACTTTCTGCAGACCAGTAGTCAAGACAGAGCTCTAAGCTAGGGACTGTTCTGGGATACATAGCACGTTCTCTCCTGTTTTTGCTGTTGGAAAAAATGGAGCTGTCACCAGAAAGGGGTCCATAGTGAGAGCTGCAAGTTTAGAACCTGCAGTTGAAGGATTTTTCCTGTGTTCAGATGGTAGCCAGTGTGCCTTTTCAAGCAGTGTCTGTTCATTCATCAGGTTTGTAGCAATGCTGACCTCTCACATAAAGCTTCCCCCATTTTTTTTTCAATCCCTGATCTCCAAGTTTGTGGGTAGCAATTTTATGCAGTCAGAAGACTAAAATCTAATCATCTCGGCTTTGAACTCTCCAGAGCCAAACTACCTTTGAGTATTCCAAGAATTTGTGCAAGGCATTTTTTTATGGCATCTCTGTTTTAGTTTACTTTAGCTGTGCTTTTGCATAGATCTGTTTACTGATACATAGTGAGGCATAGAGGTCATAAAAAATGGAGCTGTAAATCAAATTTTTTTTTGATCGAAATGCAGTATAAACTGTGCTCATGCCAAACTTCTTTATGGAAGTTCTCAGTGATATGAATGATCTGGAATACATTCAGTAGCACCGGTCTTGTCTACTGTCCTTCAGACCTTCCTGCTGGGCCTTCTCTGTCCCTTTCTAATCTGTGATGTTCTGGGGCTGTAATCCCTGAGTAAAGCTATCCTGGCTATAGG